TGGTTCTGGCTGGTGGAGGTAGGGACGCCTGCCGCCTCCTGGCTACTGTCGGATCGAGTAGCCTTGTACAGAGTGTCCGATGCTTTCTGGCCGGCCTTCCGGATCCGAGCCCGCTCCTTTCGACCGGGAAGGGAGACGACGCCGTTTACGACCGAGGGCCTCGCTGGGCAGTCTGTGTGGCCGGCTTGGAAGGGGCCGCAGCAGTTGGGACACTGGGGCCTGGCCATGCAAGGTCCCGTTTCGTGTGAGTCGGAAGGTCTTCCGCAGTTGCTGCAAGTCGGTCGTCGTCCGCAGAACCGGTTGGCGTGGTAGCCCTGGCAGCCGGGGTCATGTCGGATGAGCGTCCTTCGTTTTTTGATGGGCAGAGATCTGCCGCTTTGGTTGAAGAGCCTGAAGGGCGTGACCTCTGATGTGAATGATATGAGCCAAGATATTTCGTTCGTGACTGGGTTGGGCCCAAGGCGGGACGGTCGAGCAAGGACAGGCTTCTGTCCTGTCTGTGCGAAGACCTCATCTTCAACGAGTGTGGCTGGGTCCAGGACGTCCCCGCCAATGCTGTGTAGTTTTGTTGGGCATCGCGGCACAACGTATGTGTGCCACTTGATAGGCGTCTCGACTTGGTGGGCGCCGAGGCATTCCGCCAGCTTTGCCTTACTTGTAAGTAGTCTTTCCTGTATTTGCTTGTTTCGCGGCTTCAGAGAGTAACCTGTGCTGATATGGTAGACGTGGGGAAGGTCCGCTAGCCCCAGGCCAACGGCCTTACAGACGATCTGTCGTACGGCGAACGGTGCGATCTTCCGAGCGGCCGCTAAGCTTTCTTCCGGGACGCGGGCAAAGATGCGGAGGTCCTCCTTCGGCTGCGCCTGCGGCTGATCCTCGGCGGGGAGTGTGGCCTTCGGGCGGGCAGAGCTCTGGCAGCTCTGGCCGCTCCGGGTCGCCGCAGTGGTGTTGCCCGCCATCGGTGCGACGACAGCCGCCCAACTCCGGGCCGCTATTGGGCTTGTCTCGTGATTGATCAGTCTCTTGAGGGTTTGAATGACATAGGCAGTGGCTTCTTTCGCGATCTGCTTTCTAGAACCGTCAAAGCTGGCGACAACGCTGTCGACGGACCGTGCAATGGTCAGAAAGACGTCTTTCCGTGCCTCGTACTGTCTAGCTTCTTCTGCAAGGGCTGTCAAGACGGACCCTGTGGCAGATCCGCTCGGAGCAGATGCGGTAGAGGCTGCGGGCCCCTCGGCCGAGGTAGGGGCGTCGGTGGTGGCATCAAGCTGGCTTCCCGTTAGGCTGGGCCGGGTCGGCTGTGCCTCGGCGTCGCGGCGTCGCTTAGCTCTTGAGGTGGGGTTCGGCTCCGGAGGTGTCCCGGAGCCTGGTTCGGGGTCGGCTTGGTCGGCCGACATCAGTCCGGTGCCCGACGGCGGCTGTGAGGCCATCGCGGATGCGGGCTCCGGCAAGGGGAGGTGAAGAGTTTTCGGCTGTTAGTAATTTGGTGGTAGGCTCACTCATTCACTAACAGCAGATGCCAAGAAAAATTAGGCGAGAGGGAAGTTGAGCATCGTGCAGTAGTCCGTGAGGGGTTACAATGTTGGGAGCAAATCTCGAGAGAGCATGTTCCCCGCGTGTGGACATAGGGCCATCATGAGGCTGAGAATCAGTCCCAACAAACTCAAGGCTGCAGCTTCAAAGGCTGATCCAAAGCAGGGATCCTTCTGCGGCGGCAACATCGGAAGAAGCTGGGGAACTGGCCCGGTTTGAAGTGACAACCGAGCTAGACTCATACAGTGAGCAAGGTGTCAGGTCTATGACATGAAGCTATATGCCACTGATGCTACCGATGAATAGCAAACTTTTGATCCCACGTGGCAACGCTGACTTTGTGGCGTCTTGCTCAATTTCCCCCAATGTTGCCCGCAACAAATGCATGCCGTTTCTTATTTAGGTTTTTGGACCCCTCATTCTTGCATTGATTCTCCAACTCCATTGGCTTTTTTCATTGCTGCCGTCTCCTTGCAGAGAAGCATCACAATCTTACGACCTTAAGCTTCATATTGAATTACTTCTGATGGGCTCGTAAAACACCCGACAATAACCGCATCAGACCGGCACAAACAAAATTACTGCGAAGATTTGTATGTCGGTATAGGGCAATCAAGGCTTCTAAGGTTGTGATGAAGGTTGCGGGGTACCGGCGAGGCGGGCGGGGTACGTGAAGTCTAAGACGGTAAGGCTATGCGCGGCACTCGGAGTACTCTCCTGACTTTGACAAATGTGCCGGTTCCAGCCAGAGATGTAGTGTGACAAGGTGAGATTTGGACATTCGATGATGACGATGGCGCTTTTCTCCGGCTTTTCGGCACATCCCAAGTCTCTTGAGCAATGTCAATGACAGAACAATGACTGTTCAATGACTGTTAGAGAGTAAATGGCGTTTGTGGATGGTACTGCCAGGTTTCTTCAGGGTAGATTGATATTGGTTCATCAAACAATCCATCTGACTTACTGAAAATAAACCGAATCCGAAGTGCAGCGTGATCAGTAAACGTGGACAAAAGTGCCGCATTGATAGCCCTCTGTCGAAGGAATGTAGTCAGCGAAGCACGGCCCGAGAATGGTCAAGTCCATAGCCTCAGTGTTAGTGGAAAGAAAGGACGGTGTCTCAAGAGAATGTCGGGCCGGGCGGGGCGAGCGGCCCGAGCCCGATAGAGCGGACCACGCCCGGTCAAAAGTGGAGTTTGCGGTGGATGCCTCTGCCGCCTAACCGCCGGTTGACTAAGCCGAGAGGGACGGCGGAGGGGGGAACGCTTTTCCTGAATGGACATTTCTGTGCGCGCTTCGCCCCGAGAACTGGCATACGAGCGCGACTATCCAACCGGGTTCTGCAGCCGGCGTCACGGTCATCTGAGCTGAAACCAAGTCAAAGCAGCATTTCTGCTTCTGCTGCGAGTTGCGAATGGTAGACTTTGGCTTATGGGCCCTATGATCAAGATTTGCAAAGAGCAACTCGAGCGAGACAGAGTTTTCATTGGAAATTGGCAAACCGCGGGATTGACCTTTTCCCAAGCCCCAGCGTACCAGAAAGTCGGGTCGGGCACCAAGCAGTCTCAGCCTCATTTTCCATCGTGAGCGTGCATTATAGCGGGGAACCGAGGGCATCTTACCATAATGCACGATGAAGTTCTCACTTTGAATGATCGGATAAGATTAGCGAGGGCTTAGAGCAGCGTTTGGGTCTCCGTGCATCTTCGTGCGGGCATTCGAGATGTTTTAAGTTGAAAAAGATACTTTTCATGTTTTTGAGTGTTGAGCTCAGAATGCTGTGGATTTCATTTTCGAGCTTTGGATTAGCGGGTCCTGGACTTCGCCTAACTTATGGTAAAATGCAATTTCCGAGACTTCGAGGCGCAGAATTATGGGAGATGATATGGCGAGATTCGCTGTGTCCACAGCTGACGACGATCTAGGGAATCTCCATGTCAACACAGTGTGTCTGTACGATATACTCTGATTGGGGTTGATCTGGTCTGCACATTGCTCTCTCCATAGGGCCCAAGCAATCTCACTGCTCATTCACGTTCAGACGAGCTTATGCCCGAATCACATTAGATGGGACGAGACAAGCTGGCTCCTGCACGGCGTCCACAAGAGTGGTTTTCACACCCCTTATCACATGCTTCGAGATTCAGAGTACTGATGCGTCAAGCGCTTTGTTGAGATTTATCATCAACCTCAAGAGCCTCACCATTGATATGTCTTTACATCATGGCCGTCTTGTTCGCTTTTTGTAGCGAATACCACTATCACATTCCATACTAGACGGCATCAGGATATACAAGATACCCCTTGAGGACCATGGTGCTATAGCAAGCTCTTTCGCTTTTACTTTTCTGTGGTCGTTTGATAGTGTGATAAAGACTTAAAAGATATGTAGAGTAATAATAAAAAATACGGCAACGTACGTGCTACCCCAGTCCCGGACTCTATGGTGTAGGCCAAGCCTTGGAAGTTTATAATGCACCTAGAAGTCTCTTTCCAGGCAGTGATTGGCGCAGAAAGCACATGGCGGCCGTATACTGCTCAGTAAGATACTTCTGTCATGCGGACATAAGTTCACTATATTTCAGGGGCCCCTTTCTCAGCCACGTCAGGAAATCACTAGCGCAAACGACAAGCATAACGTATGTGATCTAAGATCGACAGAGACAAGACATTTCCGGAACCTTTTGTTTGGCCGGCGTTTTTCCCTGCCAAGATTGAGTCTGAATCTTCGGCCCAGGTTCAACTAACCCCTTGCCAGAAGGCTGAAGATCCGAGACACACTTTTCAAATTGAACCGACGTGATTCGTGAAGTGTCCTAGGGGAGATTCTAGCTCGGAAATCAATCATAGGAAGTGCTAGATGGCCATTCCAAAAGTCCCAACTCGGTGGTAATCCTAATTCCACGACATGCGTGCCTCCCCTACACGCACGATTATGCAAAGACACTGAAAGCCAGGGGATCATCGTTGGGGGTGGAAGCAGGTTTAGGTAATGGACGCCGCAGCCGCTCATGTGTACGCGTTCACACCGCCTTGGGGAATTGCTCAACTCACGTCATATCGAGTCAGGCGTACATCTTGTTCCAGAAGAACAAGCATGGGAGAATTCTCGAACTCCGATGTGCCCTTGTTGCATCAACTACACTGCATGTTTGGCAGGATATGTGAGTTTCCTGGCCGCCAAATCGTCACCTCTAAGGCTCGATTTCTCATACACCAGTCCAAAGGTAGAAGACTGGTCTTTCCAATTCATAAAGCCTCACTGCTGGCATGAACCACAAAGCTACCTCAAAGCTTTTGAGTGTCTCGTTCCCTGTCTTACCAAGGCGCTCATGGCCAGATTGAAGTAAGTCAACATGCCAGTATAGACAGTCTCCCACTCCCTTGACTGCCAAACCTTTTATGTTGGTGTAACGAATAACTTCAGTTGTAACATCATTACATTCTTGAGACCAATCCTCTGAAGGAGTCAGCCCCAGCCACCGCGGAGTCACTTTCGTTGGTTCCGAAGCAATATACAATCCGCCTCCGCCCAGCGCAGGCTTGATGTAACATTTGCAATGTTCATCAATATCATACGAGGTAAGAAGGCATATGTTTGCCTTCACTCAAAACGGAAGCTGGCCCCTGGATAATTGTTCTGGTTCATCCTTCAAGACAATTCCCACGAACACGATTTGCGACTTAAGGTCTCGACCGGGATTTTCACCTTCAAAGAAACGAACGAAGGCGTTCACAATATTCAGGAAAACCATTCGATCGGCCAAATTTTCTCCACGCAGCAGGCCAACAGCAAACAGCGTTCGACCAACGCGATGGCGCGGTTTCCAGTAGCCCGGCTGCTACTGGCATGGCTAGCAGTGCCTTTCACCAACGCCCAAGTGGATCAGTCGCGGTACAGCATCCCTTGTTTGATGCAATACGTCGGTTGTGTGGGCATTCCAAACTTCAACACGGCCTTCAGCCGTCTACTGGGCGACGGTGCTTTGACTCCTGGCAAGTGCCAACGATTCTGCAGCGATCTTGGCTCGACGTACGCAAGCCTGTACGACGGTTACTACTGCAGATGTTCACTTGTGCCGGAGACGGTAGCGCCTGTTATCGTTCCAGTAGCCGAATCTCTATGCAACAGAGTGTGCCTAGGCGATTCGAATGCAAGATGTGGTGGTGACCCGAATTATCTCAATTTGTACAAAGCGGTTGCTATCACTACCACGTGCGGAACCAGCAGTACCACTGCCACGACATTGTCTTCATCCTCGACGATGACCTCTCAGACAACCACAGACACGTCCTTGACAACGTCGTCACCGACGTCAACCTCCTCGGTCTCCTCGTCATCTTCGTCCTCCTCCTCGACGACCTCCCCAACGACATCGACCTCAACAACCTCAACAACAAGAAGCATCCCAACGTTCCCAGTCAATACCCTAGTTCCCGCTCCCCTCGCACCAGCACGGTATATAGGTTGTGGCCCCCTAGATAACTCCATGGTCAGCGACGTCGATCTCCTCTTCAACCCCTACGTGGCGAACCAACCAGTCGAATGTCAACAATACTGCAAGACCAACAGGCGAACGATCACCATGATGTCAAAGTTTCTCTGCATTTGCAGTATCCTGGTGCCGGGAGCGGTAACACCGTTTTCATCGGAAATTCTCCCAAATGATAACTACTGCACGAATCCATGTAGCTTTTTCCCTTCGGCGCCTTGTGGCGGTGCAATTCCCTTTGAATTGGGCGCGCCGGTGTACACAGTGTACCAGCTGGACGAGAGCCTCCTCAACTCTACGAGTTCGAGTTCATCTTCGACCATCTCCTCTACTTCGACCACGTCTTCTCTTTCGTTGAGTTCGGATACGTCGGGTACTGGCACCAGTACGAGTTCTAGTAACAGTATACTCTCGAGCACATCAAGCCTATCAACCAGCCCAGTAATCTCAAGCACTTCTCCATCATCGTCGGCGTCATCTTCAACATCGTCCCAAGGATCATCAAGCAGTATCAGTTCGCTCTCCTACTCAAACACAACCTCACCAGCGACAACTCCTAGCTTCTCAGTGACTTTGAGCTCTTCTACCTCGACTACACCAACGTCAAGCGTTCCCAGCAGCGGACCTTCCCTCACAAGTCTACCGCTTTCCCCGACATCTGGCACTTCGTTCCCCGCTTCAACCCCTTCTGAGACGCCGAGCAGCAGCAGCATTCCATCGTCGTCCACGTCTACTGCCTCGATAACAAGTAGTGGATCCAGTACCCGCACTTTGCCAACAAAGGATCCCCTTCCGGTAGATACAAGGTCTTCGAGCCCTACTCTCGCGTCTACAAGCAGCCCTCCGGTGTTGAGCACGGCATTCCTTTTGACAGTCACTGTAGTGAATCAACCTGCACCGACTCAAACCCTTGATCCCTAGGCAAATGAAGTATGGGAAAGGAATTTATGGCCACATCTTTAGAAATCACTTAATATAGTTGAAGTAAAGGTGTATCCGCCTAGAAACATCAAGATCAAATGGAATTAATGAACCGACCCATGTTGAAAAGAATCTATTTTGATTACGACTTCATGTTTAATTGAACGGAGTGTTGCGCATGGAAGTGACTCAAAGCCCATAAATGTACAACTCCGCAAAATCTATTGATTCATAGTCTGAACATATAGATAGATGATTGATACACTCACACTCAATCAAAAAGTCGTAACCTCCCCCTTTTTCTACAAAGTGCCTTCTTCACCTGCTCCTGTCGGGCCCCGAATCTTGAGAGCAAGAAAGCTGCCAGTCCAAGACTCATCGCAACGTCAATTTTTCATGAAAAGAACTTAGGCTCAGAAAAGATGCTTAGTTTGGAAGTCAATGAGTAGCTTCTCTTGCATTGGCCAGCCTTTCACGCACCCCTTCTAGCTTAAGCAAGCTTCGTTTCCAACATGCTCTTGCCTCGCCTGGGAGTTTGTTATCACTTGATATGGCACTCTTGTTGCCTCTGTGTCTTCTGAGCTTGACATGAACGAGTGATTAATGTCCTTAGGCGGTCCTGGTCTCCTTGAGTGCGGAGAGATCAATCAGTCGGGAGGTAACCCCCAACCCAGTTTGACCTTCATATTTGCCGGTAAGATAATTGGGTTCCGATTAGAGTTAAACCGGCTTGTACAAATGAAAGGGAACCACGCATCATAGTTGAAATTTGGGAGGAATTGAGGAATGCTTGAGCGCGAGGATGATGAATGTTTATTTTCGAGAATGATTTATTCTATTTCACTATTTCTCATGCCGAGCAATCAAATCAGTACGTTTAACTCAACACCCCCTGCAACAACACATACTTGATCGAACTCCAAAAGCAACCCAGTCTCAACTCTGAGGAAATAAATAACCCAGGAGCAGTGCAGTCAAATCCAACTTCGAATGTACATAGACCAGAGTCCTTAACCAAAGCACCAATCTGCCATCCAAACCACAACAAGCAGCATGTCACCGCACCCCACCGTCCCCACACAGTCAATCAGCCCCGCAAATCACACAGGCCCCCTGCGTCTTCATCCAATGATATCCCTAGAAACGAAGGCGGTGAAAAGGCCAAGCCGCAGCTAGTCCCCACATAACACGGCAGAATCCCCAGACAAGCTCCGCCTTGGACAAACCCTCACCTCAAGCTCCATATCGCAACAAACGTCACCGTCGACATCAATCCTCCAACTGTCCATTGTACCCCTTCCTACCGGACACCCGCCCCATTATCGCGGATTCCATTCACAATAAACGTTGAATACAGGCCAGGAAGAAAGACAAAAGCCACAATGGCGCCCTCCCTCCGCGCTCTCCTCCAAACCCTATCCTCCCTCCTCCCCCACCTCTACCCCATCACCAACGACATTACAAGCACATCTTCAAGCCTCACAACACCACAAACTACCTACGAACCCCTCTCTGGCGCGCCACAATGCCCAATCGACGGCTCCGCCAGGAACGCATGCTGCCACGTCTACCCCTCCAGCCGTCTCCTTCTCACCCAGTTCTGGGATGACACCGTCCATGCCCCCGGCGCGGAGGAGGATTGGACGCTTCACGGGCTATGGTATGTTTCTCTCTACTCCGCATCCCTTTTTTTACGCTTCTAGTGGTTGTTATTGGACTTGAGCTGGGAGAATCGACCGCTCCCTGCCAAGTCAACTCCCTGCAGAAAGACGACTGTACAAGGTATCTAACTAGGATCCTTGCGATAGGCCCGAACCATGCGATGGGAGCTACAAGGCATTCTACGGCACGGAGCCTCAATTTACCAACATCACCGATATCCTAAAGCACTACGGTCAAGATGACCTCCTGGCTTTGATGGAGAGATACTGGGTAGCAGCATAGTAAGCCCCTCCCCCGCCCGACGGTCCCCCACCAAACTCCCCCGGCCCCTCCTCTTCCCCGTCCCCGTCTCCGTGCATCCCCGGCCGGGACCAAGCAGCAGTTCCCTTCCGGCCCATTATCGGCCGAACCCAACCATAATGCTAACAAACACTCTCCCTCGCAGCGGCACAAACAACAATCTCTGGGCCCACGAGTACAACACTCACGCAAGCTGCATAAACACTCTCTCCTCATCCTGCTACGATACCGCATATAACCCCGGCATCGAAGTCGTCGACTACTTCACCCGCACCTTCTCCCTCTTCCGCCAACTCGACACCTTCACGGCGCTTGAGAGGGCCGGCATCACGCCTTCGAGCTCCAAGCGCTACGCTCTCGCCGAGGTGACCAGGACGCTGGAGAGATTGAGCGGCGGTCGCGTGGTGATGCGGTGCTCCGGGCCCGGGCGCGATGTACTTCACGAGGCGTGGTATAGCTATTCTCTAATGGGGAGCCTGCAAACGGGACAGTTTGTTCCTGCGAGCGACCTGGGAAGCTATGCTGAGGCGGGTAACTGTGCCAAGGAGGTCAGGTACCTGCTTAAGAAGTGCAAGGGCAACTGCCCGAACGCGGAACTATAGAGCCCTTGTTGAGCTCGGATTGCGTTGCGGAACATGACATTTGCAATGCTTCTGGGACAATGTCTGATGTACACATTGTGATATCTGTTTTTGAGAATACTTGCATGGCGTTTGGACAGGGAATGGGGAACTTGGTCTGGGTCATTCATCATTTCCTTCTGTCCGGGACCGAGAATTGAAGTGCTGGTCCCTGGCAGTTGTGCTGTAACAAGTCAGTTGTTATAAAATTCGGTATGCTCGGCATTGTCGATGCGGTCATCTTCAATACTCTACTCTTGGAAAAACCGTCGGCAAATGACTTTTGGTGTTTCAGCCTTCTCGTTGGGGGTAATTGTCCGTGGAGTTTTTCGGATAGCCTAACGCCGACGAGGCTGGAATACCGAGGAACAATTTGAAACCGTCCTTTGATATGGGACGATGAAGTCTAACCGTTCCTCTGATGGCTGTCTCACAAACTCAGAGCCAGATGCGGACCATGCCGTTCTCGAATATTACAGCGGCGTTTTCCGAAATTCAATCGCGGATAGCCACTGAACAGCATCAAAAAGGCTTTTGTGTTCGTTCGCACGTGTCTTGACCTCATCCGCAGCTTCTAGAGTTGACGCGAAGGATTCTTCCTCAGACGTCGATGTCTCCCTTTTTGCGCTTACCAGCATGCCAGCCTTGCATGCAGCCGTCGAGGCAGGAGTGGTGCAGTTCTGGCAAGGTGTTGAAGAACACGGATGCATGCCTTATCGGACCGACCGTCGAAACTAACGCACGCTTGTACCGATCTGGATTAGAGCATGTGGAGGTGGAAGAGTGGGCTGAGACGGACGCCGACGCACAGCACAGCACAGCATGGTGCTATGCGAGCGTGCCATGGTCGGATTGGGCGTGGTACAGCGTCCTGTCATGCCTGGCTTCTTTGGAAAGTTGTCGAGGCATCTCCGCAGCACCGACATTGGGCGCTTGCTCGAGCGCTGGTTCGCTGTCGGCATTTGAGGAGAAGGGGCAGACGGGGTGGAGCAGCGGCGGAATGCAGGCCATTTCTCTGGGCGCTGTCATCGACCATGATCAGAGCAAGGGCTCCTTGGTCGCTTTGTATCCCTATACATATTTCGGTTCTGGTGCTCAGACCGCCGTGGACCTTTTCGTCCAGATACAGGTCGCCAATTCGAGCGAAAGCCGGTGTTTCTGAGATTCCATCTTACAGGCCTAGGAAGATCGCAGCGGGTGTCAACAATTTCGGTGCCACGAGGTGGACAAGGTGAGAAGAGCGAGGGCTGGAGTCTGGAGACGGGCAGATTCTTCAGCCCTGCCAGAGATTTTCAGAGACCAAAGGACAGTGCGATGTAACCTGTCCAACGCAAGGACCGTGACCAAGTTACCAGAGCCCGTGGTCGAGAATGAAAAAAAAAACTAAAAAACTGTTGCCCCTTGTCTCATGTGTCGGGCCAAGCTGCTGTGCGTAGCTATCCAGAGAATGCGATATCATGCTGACATGAGCGAATTCCTCGTTCGCTGTGCCTCCTCTTCGTCTCCCCTCGTCCACGGGTGTACCGGCATTTGCAGACGGTGGCAGTGTTAATGCCTGTTAGCGTCGACGGCTTCTGAGACGGCGGCAGCTAACAATGTTGCCTCATAAGCTGCTTCTTTGGTCTCCGCCACAACGGGGCTTCTGCTGCTGCTAATGCTCCTGTTTGGCTGTTTGGGAGGTGCCGTTGAATTATTGACAAAACTTGAGCCCCGATGTGGGCACACGACACCGATCTGAGATGCGTTCAAACTTAGAAGCTCGATTGGTCCCAATGGCATTCCAAATGATCACCGTATTGTATTGATGCAAATGGATTCCCTGGTGATAAACGACAGCTGAGCAGCAAACTCTGGGTGTAGCCAACTCGTGCACAGTCGCGAAGAGACGCATGATAATTTAAGAGAGGATGTCCAAAGATGAGAACACTAGCATGGTCCTAAGAACGAAAGGAATAAACTGAACTTAGGTCTCTACTTTTGCGAGCCGCTAGAAGTAGATCGATTTATATTTAAAGGAAACTAATATATTTTTAAAGTTAGCACGCGCTTACGGATAAAGTACATTCTTAGTCTACTTAGAGGAAACGAGATAAACAGACTGCTTTTTAAATATCCCGATACATCTTCGCGGCATAATTAGGCCCTTATACTAGAACGGCTAATTTTCTTCTTTAAGACTTTCTGTTAGT